ATAATAATAATAATAATAATAATAATAACAGCAATAATAACTACATTATGAAACAGAGAGGTTTAGCTTACAATTATAACTATCTGAATTCTAAGTTGGGAGAAAGAAATGTGTTTGAAGTTTTGCCTGAATTGCTACAACTACTGTTGTTACTGATTCATCTTATTTCTTCTTTTCAGACGCGTAAAATTCTAATTAAAACCTTACAATGCTTAAGCTTCTCATTGCAAATACAAATACTGCTTACTTGAAATAAAAGTATTTTCGACTTAAACTACGCGGTACTGTTGTACCTAAAGTTTCACCTTTGTGGCTGGTGAGGGTATCTCAAAACTCACAAGTTGTCAGTTTCACAGATGACTGTCATATATAATTAAGGTAACTTTCAAAGCCAGATAAGACACACTGTCAACATAATTCTTGCAAAATATTTGAGAAGGCAGAGGAAAATAAGAAGGAAAGGAGAAAGGCGGATAGTTTGTAACCGAAATTTCATTCCTTTTTCTAGTCTATTGATTTATTTCTCTCTTCTGTCGTTTCTTTTTATCTTTGAGAAGTGCTTATGAATTATGCATTTGGTAAGGGAATAACGTGAATTTTAGTGGAACAGATGGAGTAAGAGCACTAAAAACTCTTTTGTTCAACTATTTAGTATATTTTTTTTCAGCCACAACCAAAGAGTCTTATTGAGAAGTCAGTGCAGCTTTTGTCTGAAACGGGATTTCCTCTCTATACCAAAGATTTGCTTACTATTTCTTCAATAAACCTTGAAATTTTTTTTCACTTGACAGGGCTAAAGTATAACACTGCATTCAAAATTCTTATAGCTTTTGTAGTAAAAAATTTTTTACTTGATAGATATTTATTTGACTTTAGTTCGGTCTCTATGAAAGGTTAAATTATATGAATCTTAGAAAAGCATGCAACAGTCAGTTCTTCACCTACACTTACGCCAATAAATTTTTTTTTGTAATTTGCGCCTTCATTGCTGCTTTCATAATCTTTTCAAAACTTTTAAACAAATCTTTCTGGATAAGTACTATGTGTTAAGGGTTTTTAACATGCACAAAAACATCCGGATACAGCATACCTTGCAGAACAAAAACACTATCTACTCATGGTCCTAAAAATTTAAAAGTAAAAAATGTCTTTTTTACTCAGACTATTGTTTGAAAACTTACTACTTGAGTGAAAAACAGAGAGTAAAAATAGGAAGAGTAAGGAAAAGAAGTCGATTTTTAAAAGG